CAAATGTCCAGGAAAGGAAAGGGTGTTATTTAGCGCCAGGAATTCGATGAAAGCGGTGATCGCTGAAGTGAGGTTGAGTGTGAGTGTGTGTGAGTGTGGTAGTGTGTGTGTTTTGTGTGAGTGTGAGTCTGTGTGTGTTTGAGTGTGAATGTGAGTGTGTGAGTGTGAGTGTGTGTGAGTGTTTATGTGTGTGTGTTTTTTGTGTGTGAGTGTGAGTGTGAGTGTGTGTGTGTTTGAGTGTGAGTGTGTGTCTGTGTGTGAGTGTGAGTGTGAGTGTTTTTTTTGTGTGTGTGTGTTTGTGTGTGAGTGAATGTGTGAGTCTGTGTGTGAGTCTGTGTGTGAGTGTGAGTGTTTGTGTGAGCGTGAGTTTGTGTGTGAGTGTGAGTCTGTGTGTGAGTGAGTGAGTGTGTGTGAGTGTTTTTGTGTGTGTGTGTTTGTGTGTGTGTTTTTTTGTGTGAGTGTGAGTGTGTGTGTGTTTGAGTGTGAGTGTGAGTGTGTGTGAGTGTTTTTTGTGTGTGTGTGTGTGTGTGAGTGTGAGTGAATGTGTGAGTCTGTGTGTGAGTGTGTGTGTGAGTCTGTGTGTGAGTGTGAGTGTTTGTGTGTGAGTGTGAGTGTGAGTGTGAGAATGTCGTTTTACACCAACATAACCCAGCACTGTCTTGGCGATCGGTACAGAATCGAACCTGGGACAGGCAAACCAGTGTCTAATAGCATAAGCAATAACCAACGCCGTCCTTGACATACAACCTGCCAGGTTGTAGAATACGGGTCCGGGTTGTCCACGTGCTGCAATTGTATGGCAACGGTAACCACATTTCCTGTGCGTGATGTTGGAATGAAATTTTATCTCCCGAGAGCATGGTTATATTGTGAAGTACATATTTATGTATGATTGGTGTGCCAACGAATAGCTTCGTGCACAGTGACCATTAATTAACTCAGTTGTAATTGTGCGCGCGGAATAACAGTGTACTTACATCTGATACAAGATTGGCCTTTTCACACACTTCACAAAAGTGGTGTTGTGGGGATTGAGGTCCAAAATAAAAGAGACATGTTCAGTTCTGTCGATGTGAATTGGCGATTTACTGATATACACCAACTAGCAGTCTCGTAAACAGTGAAACTTTATCAACTCGGGAGTCCTGGTCCCAAAATATAGATTTGTCCGTAGTTCGTGACAAACATAGCGTCGATACTAGATAACATTATGGACAAAGGTGCTGTCGATACAATATCGTTACATATGTACATCGAGTTAAGGGAGATTTGGCTTTAGGAGGTTTCACTGTATACGATGTTTATGATGAACACTGTCACGGTGATTGAATAACGATTGCGCCGTCTAGGCAAGTTGCCATGGTAATCGGCTCAAACCAGAGGTGACGCAACCAGCTTTCGTATGCACATCTGAACAGCGACTTTGAACTTACGAACCTTACAAATTTCAGAATTTCCTCGACCGCCTCCGTGGTCTAGTGGTAGAGCGTCTGCCCGGAGAGCGGAAGGTCCGGGGTTCGATCCCCGACCGCGTCATACCAAAAGTTACCCTGTCTGGCGCTCGGCATTAAGGGGCTAAAACAAGGACTGGTCGGCTCGGAGTCAGTATACTGTGTCTGAGTGGGATATTCATGTTAAACTGCGGCATGGTATCTCAGTGTGTTAGCACTATAAATCGGCATCAGTCCGGACTAGTACAAGCAGCCACACAAACACACACACGTACATGCACGTCGCTATATAAGTGCAATAATCTTGGACGCGACGATAAACCCCATTTCACCTCACCTCACCTTAGAATTTCCTCCCCGAGTATGTTGTCGTTGCTTTAAGTGATTAAGAGGTCGCCTCTGCTTTACCAATTAAGTAATTTCGGCTGAACTGCCCCTCTTTGGGACTCATGTGTGTGAGTAGGTAATACACATCCATTGGGAGTTTTAGTAAGGATATGATTTCTGTTTTGTACTGATAAGATTTGTATTTTCGCATTAATATGATTTGATTGTTTTATTTTTAGTTTCTTTGGCTGTTCTGTATAAATACTTTCGAGTAGCTGACCATCTTTCAGAAATAACGTTAGTTTGGCCTTCGTTGTTGCATGTCTAGGCTTTAGGAGATCTACAACAGGAGATCTAACTACAATTCTTGCTTTCATTGAGTCCGGCTAGGACATGCTCTTGACATTCCAATAAGAAGTGAGCAATGGATTCAGGCTGATTTGTAAGATGGGCATACCTTGTCATAGCGCTTTTGTGAGGCGTGATAACGTTCCTTTGATTTGAGTATGAGTATGAGTATGGCTATTCTGGACTTGGGGTTGAATTTAGAGGAAATATAGCATTAAGCTTAAATGAGATGTATAGTATAAATATGGGATTAAATCATTTATGAAAACAAGTATCTTCAAGAAAAAATCTATAGTCATTATTACTAGCCAAAAGACGTCATAAACCTACCCGTATCCCGGAAACTACCGGGAGTTAACGAGCAGAGATGCCATCACGTGACCTGATGACGGTGGCGAGTTGACTTGCAGACGATCACTTTTTGTGTATAGTTTTTGGTAAATTACTAACGTTCGCCACGGTATCACCAGACAATGATACCGATGAAAACGTTGAATTTTCGCTCAAAGACCTTACATATATTCGTCCGTTCAGTATGAGCCCGTGGTTAGTCAAAACTTGAGGAAATCTTGAGGAAAGTGGGTAGATCTATCGAGTGAAGACAACATCAGGTTTTCACAAAGTCTCAAAAATTCTTCTTAACTAAAACTTTTAGTCCATGAAAAATTAAATGACATTAACCTACATTGTTGGACATGTGCAAGAGATAAGTCTTCAAAAGGCACAATGTATAGTATCATAAAAAATGATTGCCTAAATTTTGAATACAGCAGGAAAACGTTTGGCGAGTCTTACTCGTGTTTAGAACTTGTAACCATAATCTACCTTTTGAAACTGGGAATGAAGAAATATTTGCCAACCAATTATCACAGGATGTGTGTGTGTGTGTGTGGGTATGTTATATGTACTTCACTGATGTTAGTTGCAGGCATTTAGCTTACTACATACACTCTACTATTCTTGTCCAAAAACATCCATCATTATAACATGGACGACCATATATTAGAGAGAGAGACAAACGAAGAATGAAATAAACACTGACAATTTATTAAACAACAAATAAACGAAAATAAAACTGACAATATTACTTTTAAAAAATACATGTCACATTATGATTTCTCCAAAAATACACACCACATTCACATTTGTCTAACCTCAAATATCCTTTTGCCATACAATAACTAATCCTAGATTTAGACACAGAATATGACCGAAATATTCATCGGTGGTGGATCTATAGGATGGATTCTTCTGAAATCCACAACCAGGGTAAAAACAGTTTCTTTGAAAAAAACTGGATCCGCCTTTAATTAATTATAACTGATATTAAACATACATGTATATCCAATATAACTGACTCACAAACACTTTTTCACATTGACATTTTTCGGTAGATAATTCCCATACAAATACATGAACATGACACTTTTGTATTCTTTAAATAATGATTAACACATCTCCATTTATACCAGTGATCTTGTTTTTATATAACAAACGATGTATATACTGTACGTGGTGGTGAGTATTAACATGATGAACCTGTTTTTTATTAATTTTAAAATGAGAACTCAGTTAATTTCAGAGCTTACAGATATTGTGCATACAGAAGATTCTCAACAAGTCTAGTTCACCAAAGATGTCCTAAAAAGGTTGAAAAGTTTACCCTGCACGTTTTGTTAATAAAAAAATAAGAGAAGACTTTCCTGCAGAATCAAACACACACAAGGTCTCATAGAGAGATCCCTAAAATGCAAGGAACACAAACCGGTTTCGGTTTCCATCTGTTTCGTCAACGCTGACATCAATGTATCCAAAGTTTCCTCATTTCAAAATACTATTGTTTGATGAACTAGTACACCCCTACGCAAAACAATACCCCATTCCATATCTCCTATACGCCGAGAATCAATTCATTGTCACGTATTTAAATGCAAAGAAAGGGAAATGACGTGAACATAATCACCCTCTTTATTGTTTCTCCTATAAGTCGAACATTTCCCCTTCTTCACTGTTCCTCCGAACGAAATCTCCTATTGCGTGGATCGATGCTCATGATGGCAATCACGGGATTGTCTGGTCCAGACTCGATTGTTTACAGACCGCCGTCATATAGCTGGACTATTGCTAAGTGTGGTGTTAAACAACAAGCAAGCAAACAAACAAACAAACAAACATAATCTCCTTCTTCCCTGTTATTGTCTTTACGTCGAACTCTCTCCCCTCAAAGACAACGCATGGGAATCAAAGAAGTGAAGTAATTTCCTGTTAGTTACATGTAGACGTTCATAATAGTACCTGTCCGGATTGACCAATGTTCGGGTTAGGGAATCAAGGATACGTAGTAATGTCCTATTTGTTACATGTAGACGTTCATAACAGTATCTGTCCGGATTGACCAATGTCCGGTTAAAGGAATCATGGGGATGAAAAATGTCCTATCAGTTGTATGTAGACGTCCGTAATAATATCTGTCCGGATTGACCAATGTCCGGATTAGGGAATCAAGGATGCGTAGTAATGTCCTATTTGTTACATGTAGACGTTCATAACAGTATTTGTCCGGATTGACCAATATCCAGATTAAGGAATCATGGGTATGAATAATGTCCTTTCAGTTGTATGGAGACGTCCATAATATATGTTCGGAATAACCAATGTCCGGATTAAGGAATCGCGAGGATGAATAATGTCCTATCAGTTGTATGTAGACGTCCATAATAGTATCTGTCCTTATTGACCAATGTCCGGATTAAGGAATCATGGGTATGAATAATGTCCTTTCAGTTGTATGTAGACGTCCATAATAGTATCCGTCCGGACAGCGAGATTTCGGGACTGATGGGGTATTACTGTATTACATATTCAGCGTACCTATCACACTCTGTGGCGCGTGTCAATAAGGTTCTTGCTTTTTCTGCAAATAAGTATCTGCACACATACAACACACATTAATTGCTTATCTATTCTTACTGGCACTGAATATTAATTGATGAATATCAGCCAAATCCTTTTTTTTCAGAGTCTTGTTGTCGTAAATCTTAAAGCAAAGCTCATGGTCCCTGATATCTGCCCACCCCCCGTATGGAACATCGTGCGTCGGTCGCCTGGGGAAATTTCCAACAATTTGAACTTTTGGCGGGAACAAATATCGCGAATTCGTTCTAAGAATATAGTCAGCTTCCTGTTTCACGCTCTCTGTGGTGCAAGACAGATTTCTATGGAAACCCTTGCATTGACCGAGATGAAAAAGCCGACTGGCTGATGGTTTCAATATTTTAAGCCCCCCGGGGATGCACGTGGCGGTCACGTGCTGTAGTGCCCAATCCCAGTTACAGTCGTCAAAAAGACAAAACGCTTTTTGACAATCTTTTAATAATTTCCAGAAATCTTTGGTGAACGCTTGACCCCTCCCAACGCCGGCGTACCAGAAGGCTCTGACAACGTCGCCTGATTGAGCAGGGTATGGTAGAGATGACGTTTTGCCCATTTCCCCCATGATAAACATCTTGCAGTCTTTGCATTCAGCATCCCTGGCAATGTTCATCTTCTTGATGAAGTATATGGTGTCCTCGGCAAGGTAGTAGTCGTCGTCAAGACGTAAGATCGTCACGCCGGGAACGTCCTTGAAAAAGGACCGTTCAAACACAAATTGAAGTTTCCACAACCAGTGATGTTTGAGTTGTGTGTGTTTGGCTTCCCTGTAATGCTGGTATCGGTCTGGGTAATCCGCATTGTTGCACTTCCGCTTCCGGGCCTCAGTTCGAGGCAGATCACGCGGACAATCGTTCAGGTCGTCACCGGGGAAGATATTATTGTAAGCTTGAATTGCATATGGGTAGAAGATTTGTAGAACGGGACAAAAATCAATTGAATCAATAATTTCAAACACAGCTTTTGAATAATAGTCGTGACTTATGACAAGAAGCGTTTCGTTTATGTACCTGTTTCTTCGGAAGGAATCAAGCTGCATCTTCAACACGTCAAGGCGGTCGTGCACCTGGACCAATATCACAACTGAATCCGGTTTGATTTTTAAGTCAAACTTTTGTCCATTCTTGATGTGCTGTTTTGCATTGATTTGTTCCACGTCCAGAGGAAACTGATTTATGTCCATCCAGTTCGGAATGCTCGGTACGTGTGGCGCTCTTGTTGATTGAAGCTGCCTCATTACATGTTTCCTGAAACTGTTTGCAGTTTCATTCAAGTATCTTTCCGCCCGACGTGACATTTTGAAATGAGAATAAATTCCAAACTTGCTGGTTATTAAATATGCAATATAGAAACACATATACCCCAAAAGAATCAAAGCGAAGAACTTCATACCCTTCTGTCGAATGAATAACCTCATTTTCTATACCGGCTACGTCGAACTCCAAATGGCGATTCTCTTCCCGTACTCTCACATGCCCCATCGTATGGAGACGTCCATCAACACAGTATCACAAGTATCACAACACACCAGTCGGGGAATGTACTATTTTTCTTTGCACCACCATACAAACTCTGAAGTGAAGTACTTCCGTACTTCCGTTCAGCGAAAGTTTCTCGACAAGTGTATCTCAAAATGAGACTCGAGTGGACAAACGCCCTCGTTTACTGTAAGGCTGAACAGTGCGATAAGAGATAACACTGTGGCCATGACACGGAGGTATGGCCCATATGATGAATCAGAATCGTTTTATCAGTTATTGTAGGTGATTAACAGACTGGGTGTATAATAATACCATTTAAAGCGCTCATAACAAGATTTTCAGCATATCTCTTGGTATTGTGAGAGAAAAACACCGAATAAGTACGTTCATCGACACATTTGGATGTGGCTCTTGTTGGATTAGCTTCGGTGTGGGTTTTAAGCCATTTTTATGAGCTAAACCTGCTCCCTCGCTGACAACACCACGCGGTTAACAGGAAGAATGCCCTGTGCGTGTTTAAAGTGGGTTGTGCATCAGGGTTTTGTTTGCCACAGAACAACACGAATGGTGATTTTGAGCATCTCCCAGGCTGTCCTGTCCTGATAATGTGTTCTGGCATATGTCATCTGGCTTCGTCAGTCTTTTGACGAGTCTCACCTGCTTAATAGAAAATATGCATTGCAGGTATTGCGTGTCATCCATGCAATCGAATATAAAAAAAATATTTTACATGATAGAGTTTTGAACGAATGTAATTTTTTTAACGTAGTCAACAAGTCCAGCTACAGTGTATATCAGGTCGGCCAGTAAATAATTTAATTGAATCTGGGCCAGGTAAACAAGTGGTTGATAGCATGAACAACGACATCTGGCAGGTTGTAGGATGTAAAAAGAATACAATTTTAGATTAAATAAATACAAAAATATCAAATAAATAAATAAATAAATAAATAAATACATGCAATAGAACAAGTTACGTAAAAACTTTCAAGATACTGTAGCTCACTGGTACATACATAACTTTAGCAATACAGAATGGAAAATGTGCTGTTTTAGAATACATGGTATTATCGATTATTGTAAAATAATATATTGACCACTATGTACCGTAAGTTATATTATGATTACTCTATGCAAAGTGTTGAAATTTTAAACTCCACATTAATTTGATAACAGTATGAAATAACAAAACAAAGAGTAAAAAGAAAACCTATGAATCAATATAAGACAACTATAAAACGCCAGAAAGGGCAACAAATGGTACTTTTAGTCACTGGATAATATTAATTAATTAGTCAAAATTGTCGTGGGTTCCAATCCCATATTCGCCCTGATTATGATCATTTGTGTGACACAATCGCCCGTAAGCATCAGAGGACCATTTCTCTTCGGGCGACGAATACTTTTATTGTTACAGATTTACAAGGTTGGTTGGTTGGTTTGTTGCTTAACGCCGCACTCAGCAATATTCCAGCAATATGACGGCGGTCTGTAAATAATCGAGTCTGAACCAGACAATCCAGTGATTGATATCATGAGCATCGATCCACACATTTAGGATCGATGATATGCATCAACCAAGTCAGCGAGCCAGACCACCCGATCCCTATAGTCACTTTTTACGGCAAGCATGGGTTGCTGAAGATCTATTCTACTCCGGAATCTTCACGGGTCAGATTTACAAGGAAATAACACGATAAGTCCAAATGCTAGTATAGGAGGCAGCGGTTCGGGCAACCATTCTGAGGCGAGAGAATAAGCCAACTTCTCCTCATACCTCTGTCGGTATTTACCCTAGGCTTGAACCGCTGTAGAGGGTCGTGCGGCGTCAGTTACACGCTGACTAACCAATGTTATGTGTCCGACCCTCACAGAGAAAACACTATACTCTTTCTTAGCAGAGTTAAGTGTTGAAATATTTCAAGTGGTGTATAAACTACTTGACCATGGTCAATAGGCTGTGAGGTTATATTTTACCGAGCAAACATGGTCCTTATACAACTAGTAGTCAGTGTAGAAACTACTACGTTAAACAGGTTACTTTAAAATATATATAGTTCTTACGCCATCTTTCAACTCTTTTAGTGACACTTGCATTTGTCAAAATCTCTATTGATAGTTTTGCACTGCATATTAATTATAGAAGCCAAAACACTGATCTTGAAATAATGATGTCACAATATCTTCAGGATATTTCTTTGTTATGTTCATGACTACTTGTATCAGCCTACTGGGTCTCATTGTGGGTTTCGGTAGGGGCGCGTTGGGACGAATGCAGTATCTGAGAATTCAAGAAAGGTTTGTTAGGTTTTGAAACGATAGAGTGTATTCAAGTGTGAGTTGATGGGTTGTCAGGAACAAAAATGACAAATGATACTTGTATTTACCCACTGAGATCTATATAAATAAAACATCAACGTAACACAGGCATGAGGCTTGATAAGGTTCGTGCAGACAGGTAATCTTGCCAAGTTGAATAACAATGTCAGTCGTGTTTGTTACACAATCAACAACAAGGACTTTCTCACGCATACGTTTATCTGTCACACTCAAATTAAATAGAAACGACAAACTATGAAAACATATACTTTCTATTCACTGTAAATGAACTCGTGACTCGTTCAAATGCATATCAAAGAGAATGTTAAGAAGAAACCTAAAACAATAATTCCATCTTATGTCCAGTTTCCACCCTTGCCGAACTTGGCCGGAATTTCTGGGTTAGATCGTAGCGCCAGTGGCTATTACGAGTTATGTCTCTTCTATATCCCTCCTATTGACCAATCAGATTCCACCTCTGATAGCACATGCATTTGCTTCAAACAAAATGGCGGCGCCTGGTGAAGACGATCCAAACGAGTGAGTGAGTATGGTTTTACGCCGCTTTTAGCAATATTCCAGCAACATCACGGCGGGGGACACCAGAAATGAGCTTCACACATTGTACCCATGTCGGGAATCGAACCCGGATCTTCAGCGTGACGAGCGAACGCTTTAACCACTAGGCTACCCGACCGCTCCGATCTAAACGATAATCAAGATCTATATTGTAATAAAATGGGACTTACCCTGCGAAGTGCATCGAATCACGTGAGCATCTTGATTAAAAACATGAAAAGCTTTCTAAAATATCTGTTGACGCTAAGTTGGCGGTACTTATGCTTTACAAATCCGGCAGTCGATCGAAATTTGCACTGCAGATTACGATCCGAACCATATCGTCGAATTCGAGACAAACTTACCTAAGTTGTACAGTAACACCTCATTAACTAGACTTACAATCACGTCGTAAAGTTAACCAAGCAGATACTTACTTTGTCGGAATAATTGTTGTGTGGCAGGAGAGATCGTTGTGAGTTTATTTGAAGTGATTGCCAGTGGCATCAATGATTGAAGCGCTGTAAAATGTCGAGCGTTAACGGCGGCAGCGAATGAGTGGAATTTAGTGTAAGTCCCCTTGGTTGTTGACAAACATGTTTGTTTGTTTGTTTTTTGTTTAACGCCGCTCAGCAATATTCCAGGTATATGACGGCGGTCTGTAAATAATCGAGTCTGGACCAGACAATCCAGTGATTGACATCATGAACATCGATCTTGGCAATGGGGATACAATGACATTAATCAACCAATTCAGCGAGCCCGACCACCCAAGCCCATTAGTCGCCTCTTACGGCAAGCATGGGTTGCTGAAGACCAGGGAGCCGCTGTACAAAGCGGTCTTAGCGCTAAGGTGATCGTAACACCCATACATAAACATAGACCAACGGCAGTCGTAACGCTAAGGTTGTTTTGTATAAAGGCACCGTGATCTCTACCCTGATCTCCACGGGTCGACAAACATCATGAGGGCAGGCGGCTTCTAGACATTCGAGGTATTTACGACCTGACTGGGATTTTATCGAAAAATTAAATTGACCCCGAGTATTCTTGAAAAAAATGATTATACTTCAAACTGTTAAAAAAAATTAATTTGCTTGCCACAAACTTACATTGTTGCAACGTTTTTTTCTTAAAACAAATTCAGGCTCATGGTTTTAATTAAAGACATATCTGGTTTTGTAGCTGAAGCTGAAGAAATCTATATTCTCTACACCAAATCCAATGTCAACACAAGGAACCATGCCACTTTTGGATATACGTATCTTTTAAGGCCTGTACAAGTCGACTTAAAAATGTTGTGGCATGTCTACATGTTGCTGTTTAAAACCAAATATAACCATATCCACATTCGTATAACATATTTTTAACTTTGATGCCCAGTGTATTATAGCCGGGGTAAGTAGTTATACCAAACCGTCCGTACTTTTTGTGTGACATATAACTTGAAAACTACTTCATAGATTCTTTTCAAACTTGGTTAACACTTCCTATACCTATATGAGGGGTGCAGTGAGAATATGAAATATAATAAAAAGGAGCCCAGAAACTCTTCATTTTCAGACAATGCAGTAACCTAGCCGAAGATGCATGGACTTGCATGGGCTGTATTGGATATATTTGTTTCAGGGTCTGTTTGACAGATTAACCATTCATATATGTTGTTGAGTTTACAGTTCAAACATTTAACACACTTTAACCATGCTTAGAAAAATGAATATGGATTTTGATAGGGAACTGAACAACTTCATCAGAAAAGAGAACAATATCATTGGCGAGATACAGGGAAGTCAATGTTAACGTTACTCGGCTAAACGTGTTCATA